AGGATGTGGGTGCAGGATGTGGGTGCAGGATGTGAGTGCATGATGTGGGTGCATGATGTGGGTGCAGGATGTGGGTGCAGGGTGTGGGTGTTTACAGTTTTGTTTTTAAATATTATGGACCTGTTTTTTTGTTGTGTTGTTTTTTTTTTTTTGCCTTATAAAAAATAGCTCTTTTAAAATTCTAATGCTAAAAGCATCTCTACATAGCTTCTTTTTTGGAAGGTTTTCTGAGAAAATGTAATGGGATGCTAGGCACCAGGGGCTCCGAAAACAAAAACTAATTTCTTTATATAAATCAGAGTCCGGACCGGACTGTGAAATAACATGTAAATTAATCAAAATGAACTGGTCAAAGAGACATTGCATAATATATATATATAAGAATGAGCTAGAGTGACATAACGCCAAAAGGGAGATATGATTTAAGTACGTTCGGATTCCTAAAAACAATCATAGCTATTTTCTATTATTTTTCTATAATTTAAATGCGCAAAAAATAATTTAAATCCGCTTTTATTTTAGTAAACGTTTAAGTATTATTGTTATAAATTATTTTAAGCATTTTATATGTGTTTAAAAGTTATGAAAATTTAAAAAATTAAAAATCAGGATCAAAGAATTACACCATAATCACATTTATCGGGAAAACCCAAACATCAGTAGTTTTTAGTGCGTCGTTAATATTGGTAAATAAAATTTTTAATTAATTTGTTCTAAATAATCATGCAAATGAAGTCATAGTAGGAATAGCGTATTTCTCCAAAACTCTTGGGTTTCTTTAAATTTAATAACAGCGCGTGACAAAACTGATAATGCATTTTCCCTTCTTAACAGTAAAATTAATAAATACAACTGATTGCTTTTTAAATTTTTAATAAAACACACACACATTTCAGCTGTGTATATTAACATTAAAAAGTTTTGCCTTTTATTATTCCAAAAATATACATTTATTAAAATTATAACGTAATAAAAACTAACCTTAAATATAATTCTAATAAGAAAATGCGGTTTAAGTCAAACAGTGCAGCGCAACTCCATAGCCAAATAGCATTGACTAATCCACATATAACTAAAACAAAACAGAAGGAACCATATGAAGTGCAAATTATTTTAGTTTGGGTATGGAAGAGACTACATTAAGTACAAAATTCTGTCCCTGGCCTACAGCTGCATATATGGCTCAGCACTGGAATATCTCAAGGAATTGATTTATAAACATGTACCCCTGAAGAGCCTGCGGTCTTCAACACAGTACTTACTGAGTGTTCGTAGGGTGGTTGAATACAGAAAAAAAGTCGAAGTGCGCTCTTTTGAAGCGATAGCGCCAAAATTATGGAACAGTTTGCCTCAATCTTTTAGGGGAATTGTAAATGATAACAAATCATTTAGGGTACAATTAAAAAGTTTTTTGTTTCAATAGATTTCAGAGGACCAGAGCACACTGAGCATGCTAAAGTGGCATGGATACCACTATATAAATATCAAATGAAATCAAACAATCCGGTAGAAGATTTTTCTAAATTTATTTAAATCTGGGGAGGGGGGGGTTGGTTACTTTGCCCCAGACAGCACAAGATTCGTCTCAAAAGAAAGGAATGAACTTGATAATAATAAACCTTCTTGGGAACATACATTTCGGGGTTAGGAAATAGGATGTGTACATTTTCACGTGGATGACAATATATTTAAATCCTATGGTATTACATTTGGGAAAAAAGAGATGTTACATTCTCTTTTTACAAATTTGTGTATGTTTATTTGGCTCAAGGTAGAACAAGATATGTCTCAAAATAGAGGACTAATTTTGATAAATAATTAATTTTCTTGGGTAAATACATGTCGGAGGTAGGAAATAAGATGTGTACATTTTTACGTGGATGACAATATAGTTAACTCCTATGGTATTACATTTGGGAAAAAAGAGATGTTACATTCTCTTTTTACAAATATGTGTATGTTTATTTGGCTCAAGGTAGAACAAGATATGTCTCAAAATAGAGGACTAATTTTGATAAATAATTAATTTTCTTGGGTAAATACATGTCGGAGGTAGGAAATAAGATGTGTACATTTTTACGTGGATGACAATATAGTTAACTCCTATGGTATCACATATGTGAAAAAAGAGATGTTACTTTCTCTTTTTACAAAGACACGTATGTTTACAATTAAGAAGATCAATGGTGTTAACAAATCTTGGGTACCTTTATATAAGTATACCCATGAATATCAAAACCCAATCATTTTACACACTTGAAAAATGAATTTAGAAAAATAGAGATGGGTTAATATTTACTTTCAAAAAATTAAAATATATTTTTGTTTTTACTTTGCAAAAAGTAAAGAGATTTGTATTTTATGAAATTAACCATTTAAATTTTAAAAAACAACACTCAAATCTGTTATTGACATGAAAAACAGTTGCATGTTTCTTCTTCAGATAAAAGAATTCTTTGCTTTACGATTTTCTGATAATATATAATTTTTTTAAAAATTTTGCTGAAGATATCAATATATATCGAATTCCTACAATATAAAACATTTTTATATTATTTATAGAGTTTTTGTGTAAATTTAAGGCAACTTTTTTAAACAATTTTTAGAGAAAAAAAGTTGTAATTCAAGGGCACGAAAAGGGGTAAATCTAAAGTATTTCTCTAACGTAGTAATTTTCCCTCAATTAACTCCTTTAGTGACAAAATTGATATAATTAGTAATAATTTAGACTGTGTAATTTAAGGTCATGTTTAGAGGGGGGAAAAGGTAGTTTAGGAGCGTGAAAAGGAGTCGGGTAGGCCTATAATATGCAGCAGATAAATACTTCTCAAAACGTAATGATGTGAGAAACGTAAATATCATTACATTTTTTAAAGTTATGAATTGTGATGAGTTTTTGCAATAGCAGTTAGAAATTATCGTAACGGAACTACCATTATTATCCCGATAACATCGGGTCATTTATTCTAGTGTATTAAGAAAGAAACAATTAAAGGGCTGATTAAATAAAGAAAAGGATTCAAAAGTTGCAGGTCTCTTTAAATACTGGATAGGATTAAAATTCTACTACACATTAATTTAATGTAACTCTGGATATTTTTTAAAACAGTATTTACCTTATCTACCTTTTGTTATGATATGTCTTAATGTAAAACTTGTTGGTCATGTTCCCAGGCTTCGCCAGAACAACTACTGGTCTTTGATCTATGTCAAGCCCTACAGCAGGATCGGTGTCTACTGTATTGGGCTTGGTCTTGGCTACTTCCTTTTTGTATGCGACAGGCAGATGAAGTTTAGAAAGGTTAGTTCTCAGTTGACTGTTGGAACACTCATCACATCCTTACACCACAAAATTAATAGATGCAATTTATGGCAATGGGTGAAATATTCTCTTAGAAATGAAATGGCTTTGGTGGATAAAAATTCAAATGTATACATTTTTTTTGATTTTGGCTGAAGCTGATGCAATTTATCCAAAAGTCAGATAATATTATAAAGAGGAGCTATGAAGTATTTCCCTGATGAATGTTAAATTTGTTAAGATATTTACAGAATTATTTTATAGTTCCATGTTGATTGTTAAATTTTGCAAAGATTTACAGTATTCTTACCCTGGTCACTAACGATTGGAACATAATGACATAGAAGTAAGCTAACAATATCATAAGATAGGGCATTAAAATTTTATTCACAGCCTGTCTTGTATGGTGGGTGGTTGGTAGCCTGCACTGTTCTATTTCTCCTGCCTTACATCACATATGTGGAGAACAGAGAAGGAGGCAGAGCCTGGTCAGGAGTGGAGACAGGCATCTATGAAGCTTTCTCCAGGCCAGCCTGGGCCTTGTCATTGGCTTGGGTTATATTTGCTTGCAGTACTGGACAAGGGGGTAAGAGGACTATGGGGTGGTGGGCCTTGTCATTGACATGGGTTATATTTGCTTTTAGCACTGTACAAAGGGGTAAGTGAACTTGTGGAAACTCTGTGTACAGGAAAGACATCTTTTGTTATCTTTAATTAAGGCTTAAGTTAATTCAAGTATTGAATTGATTGGAAAGACATTTTTTAATTCTAATATCAGTAACACTCAGGTCCTTGAAGGGAATTTTATATATCTCTTTTAACCTGTCCTAGAATTTTGTATTATTTTCTCATATTGGCATAAATGTTTCAAATGAATTAAATTTTGTCTTCAGCTTTTGTGGGAAAGTTTTTGTCTTGGAATTTCTTCCTGCCACTGTGCCGCATCACCTATGGAGTGTTTCTGCTGCATCCAATCCTAATCCATGTGGTGATAGAATCATCTTATCATAACTTTTACCTGAACCTCGGACAACTGGTAAGACGCCAGCTCTAAACTAATACATATTTTAACTGGATCTTTTTTGTTATTGACGAGAGCTTCATTTTAGAAGTGTTCGCCGCACAAACCATTTTGATCATGGTTTTTCTTTCTTTTTTTATCCCCTAAAAAGTGTCCCCCTGATAGTAAAATTGTAAATTTAACCATTTCGCTAAATTAATTTTGAATTGCAATTTTTAAACTGAGGTGAGTATGACAATGAAACTCGAATCTGATTATTTTATAAAGAATTACAAGGATGCCATTATGATAATGCACTTATTTCAATTTTTTTCAAAATCTAAACCAACATAAAATCACATATCAACATGATCATCATTGTGACTGTTTAAATAAACAGCAGCTCAATGGAGTTCACGGACTCGGTCTCCTATTTTTTTTTTTTAAATTGAATCAACCTGTAATCTATTTCTGTGACTCATTTTGACTCTCACTTCTATTACTGTGACTCATATTGACTCTCACTTCTATTACTGTGACTCATATTGACTCTCACTTCTATTACTGTGACTCATATTGACTCTCACTTCTATTACTGTGACTCATATTGACTCTCACTGGTGGTTGTTTCAGGTGTACACCTACATAGCCATGTTTGTGTGTTCCTATGGCATTGCTTTCATCCTCATCACCTTCATAGAGTCCCCCTGCACTTCATTTGAGAGCCACATACGGCTTCGATTTAAAACTTGGCAGACTAACAGAAAAATGAAAAACTTGATGGCCTAGTTTATAGGCATGTATTTATCATCACTCTGTACTGCTGATGTTTGTTTGTGGGATGCAGTACACAAGTAGCGTTGTTTAGTTTGACATATAGTGGAGACATTAAACTTTATAATCATTGGGATATCCCCTGGGTTTCTTTCTAAAAGCAACCCGTATGGCAAATAAAATTGATATTTCAAGCATGGTCATATTTCTCATGTTAAGAAATCAATTTTTTAATGAAATAACGTTAATTATGGTATTTATTATTTTTATTATTTATAATTAATAAGTTCTTTTTATTACCTGGGTAATATTTTTTGTTAATTGCTCACTTATAAGGCAAATAAAGTGAAAGAATGGCTAAATGGACTTTATTGAGTCATCTACAATTATATTTTTTTAGCTTATTTTAAAGTGGCTAATCAAAGCCATTTTAATAAATCAATAACTTTCCATTTACCTTTTTGTGTGTTCTGTCTATGATAATTCCATATGCTGCTTACATTCCATGTTCTGCCTCTTTCACTATTGAATTAACACATATAGTCAGTGTTGTTCCATTAAGCATTTCTGTCCCTTTAAATCATTATTGTCCATTTTAAGCATTGTTACCACCTTAACTATTGTTTTTATCAGATCTTGATACAAATTTTTGTTTTGACAAAGTGGCCAAAATATTTATTTTAAAAAGGCTTTAGCCAGTAACCAGAAATCTTGTGACTTCATTGTGAGCTTCACATTTTTTTACTAATAATTCACCATTTATAATTTGAACATTTATAAATCATCTTTTATATATTTTTTTGGTGTTATTATAAAAGTCATTGTAAAACATAAATGTTATTCATTTGAATAAGTATGCTACGACCTTTTAGGTTATTGAGCAGTAGAAATCAACTTTTTTATTTTAATAGTTTCAACCAGGATAAGCACAGCAAAAATATTATAAATAAAAGCAATTTTTTTTTTGTATTTCTAACATCAAAGAGGCTTTAATTCAACAAAATAACTTTGTACAACATTTAAGTTTGATAATTTTTTTTGGCCCTGATGCTTAAAACTGTTTTCTTCTCTCTTCAAAAAATCAAATTTTAGCTTTTCTTAATGAGCAAAATTTATAAAAAATTATAACTTATGATGACCAGAAAATAATTTAATTAAATTTATCTTCTGTTTATTTATTGAATTCCCGTTATATAAATAACAATAAATTATTTAAATTATTAAGACCAAAAAAAAATGTAAATATTCGCCACAAATTTTTTACAATTTTTAAAAAAAATTTTTTTTTTACATTTCCGGATTTGAGCCACATTTTATTGTTATTTAATGTGAACAAAATAAAGCTGCCTACAGGCTCTAGCCAAAACCAATATTTTTTACTATGTCAAATATCAGAAAATCAGGCTATGTTCTGACAACACCCCATGCAAACTGAAGATTTTGATTTTAAACTTTTATTTTAGGAATCCATATTATTTTTTTATTTAATTTTCAAATTTAAAATTGTCCTGTGTGACTTTACTTGCAAGAATCTGGTAACTATTTAAAAATGGCAAGAAAATGTTGACTGAATGTTTTTCTTACTGCCAACTTTCCTTTCTTGATATATTCACTGTGGGATTGTAATCAGGATGCCAGTATACTTAATATATTACATTTTTAAATGCAGTTTTATTTAGACAGGTTATCTTTTGTATTTAGTGAATGTAATCAATAAAACAATATACTAGTGGTAAAAGATTACAAAGAATAAAGGTAAAAATTTAACCATAAATCTACTTAAGAATTATTAATTTTCAGACCAATTTGCCACTTTTGATGAGTTGACAATTTTTTTTTGAAGTCAGCCTTTTTTTTTTTCCTTATAATTTCTTCAAGATCCGCTGCTTATTTCATTCATTGTTCAGTAAATTTTACATTATTTTTACAAATATCAACATATAATTCACAAAAAGTGTTTTAATTTCATTGCTCAGAATTAGGCATTACTTTATTGATATTTCCTCACACTCAGGTGTTTTACAATTACTTTGTACTTGTACTCTCAAAACTGATTTTGTGAATGATTATTTATTTGTTTACATTTACATGTTGTTGTTTTTTTTTTTAAACCACTGAACTTGGTTCTCCATCTTTTGAAAGATGAAAATTTCAAACAAATTCCGAACATTCCTTTGTAAGATACTCTTGATAACCCACCAGTCATCTACTTAGACATATGACCGGTGGCAAATTAAATAGCACCATTATCTAGGAGGCCCCATCTGGACAACATCCACCTGGGCTCTCAAAATCTCAATTATGGTCTTCAATTATCATCATTGTGTCACCTGTCTTCATTGAAATACTGTTTAAAATGGTTATTGGTTTTCCCTGGTTATGTAACTTGGAGGTATTTAAGTCCCCAACTGTCATTGCCGCTGCCATGTCAGCTTGGCAGGGTGACAACATCAAGGTCCGGCTCGAGGAGTGGGGGAGACCTGGAGCAAATTTTTAACCCCAACCAGATGGAGAACCAGCAACACATGTGATGTCCATTCATAAATTGTTGTGTAATTTCCTCTCCGCTAATTATGTGTCTGGCTACAGCTGCATCTGCAGTGAATGTCCAATATATATGAATACTCAATAATTAGAGTTGTGTAATAAACATATTAAGTATGAATAACTTTATGATTAACAAGGTAATTTTGGGGGGGGTGGGGGGGAGCTAGCCTATGTCTTCCTTGTGTAAGATGTATTTTTCATTGGCTGACACTGGCCTTAATGTGAGCTATTCCAAGAATGAGGCCCATCCATATATGTACATTTCTGCTGTTGCAGCCCTGAAATTTGTGGAAAGCCCTATATAAACATACATTCGAGCTTAACCAAAAGGATTCAAATAAATTATTTATAATAAATTATTTTATGATTCTGAGAAATTCTCAGAGGAAATTTTTTTTTTTAAAATGCCAAAATCAATTCAATGCTGTATGTGATTTTTACTTTCAGAAATTTAAATTATCAATCAGACTCAACAAACTAGGTCAACTACTTAAATAAATGAAGACCGCCTTGTTGTCTTACATTATCTATCTTCACTGTTGCATTCCTAATTTCTATGAATGTCCACTATTTTACCTAGATATGTATTGTAGATGAATAGCTTGAAAGTTATTTACTGATCGGTCTAACACTGGACTAACAATTAATATTATAAAGTTGAATGCACTTCAACACGTTTGAATAAATTCTCATTAGACAGTCGCTTAGTAGTTATAACAGAGAATAGTAATTCTAGGCCCTTTTAATTCACTAGATATTTAATGTTATTGTATAGAAACACACATAAAACATTATCAAAATACACATATTTGACTGTATACACATCAGACATTGACGTAATCCTCGTGTGCCACTTAGTAGATGGTAAGTGATGTTTTTATAATACCGAACCGTCAACAAGGATTTTAAAGTTCATTCAGTTTTTGAAGTGTCCTGCCGCACTGCGCGTTATTTTAACACCGAGTTGGTGGCTCACAGCAACACAAACAAGCGGTTCATTCGATCACCAGGTTGTCACAGACTGGTTGCTCCCAGAAAGTGCTCCGCGGAGCCCTTAGGGCTCCTCTTGCAAGTCTCACGGGCTCCGCGGCCGCTCCAGTTGATTCCTATACATGATTGACTTTTTTAAGACATGGGGTAGGCCTTAAAGGCTCCGTGGGGCAAAAAAGGCTGGGAACCACTGGTGTGACCGAATACCTTGCTTGACATCCTTTCACTGTGAGGTATTTCATCAACTCCAGAACTTTGATAACAGGTGGAACGATTGCCGCGATATTTTTATTATTTGCTGGTGCATTTTATTTGATTGAGCTTGCAAACCTGACTATTTCCAACTCTGTCTTTACAACGGGACTCCTTTTCTTCACATGCGCCCGATCAAAACAAAGCGAGACAATACACAGCGCTACTATCGACGTGGACAGTAAAAAAAAAAGTACATTGCAGTTATGTCAATATAAGTACGCCTCTTTGAAAGTTGGTCACGTGGTGTTGTGACCAGTAGGGAGAAAGCTGACCAAGGGCTGATGTGAATGCGAGGTTGCCATCTGGTTAGAATCTTTAATTATAAATTATTGTTGCCGCAATTAGCGCATACAACTGTTCTTAATGTGTGTGAACTGTACTGTAAGGTCAAAATATTTTTTCCCACCTCCCAAAAATCTATCTGACTGATCAATCCTGCTCTTCTCTAAAGTTATCCAAAATGTAAACATTCCATGAACTGAACCATATTTACATATCTTTATATTTCTCGTACGGTTTGACATGAATGGTTTGACACGAATAAACGCAAAACTTGCTGAAGTGTTCGTCTCGATATTTTAATTTGATTCATGTTGTATTTATGTATGTCTCTGCTGCACGCTGGCCGCCTCAAAAGCTGCCGACTTCTCTACGTTCAGGTCACGGTATGAATCCCACATTAAGTAGCGTTGCTGGTTGTTGGTGTTGTCCTCGTTATTGTTGCTGATGTTGTTGTTGTTTATTTTACTATTATTGTTCCTTTTCCCCAAATTTTTCCCTACCTTGTGTTTTTTATTCCCTTCTTAAGGACTGTCATATGGTTTTGTAAAATGTAATCTGTTCTGCGATTTCACCAATTAGGTCAGGGGTGGCCAACCTTTTCAGCAGGCGGGCCAAATTTCAGAAATATATTTCCTGCCGGGCCACGCACCTAATTTTTTTGTTAATTAAAATAAAGAAGCAAGCGTTCTACCGTTTCAGACAGAGACTATTTCTGTAAGCTCAAGGAAGTATATCTAGAATAATTCTTTAATGCCTGCACTTTGGCCAATAATCCCCTTTATCAGATTACTTGACCACACTACAGATTACTTGACAACACTGCAGATTACTTCACTACACTGCAGATTACTTGACCACACTGCAGATTACTTCACTACACTGCAAATTACTTGACCACACTACAGATTACTTGACCACACTACAGATTACCTGACCACACTACAGATTACCTGACCACACTACAGATTACCTGACCACACTACAGATTACCTGACCACACTACAGATTACCTGACCACACTACAGATTACCTGACCACACTACAGATTACCTGACCACACTGCAGATTACCTGACCACAGTACAGATTACCTGACCACAGTACAGATTACCTGAAAACACTACAGATTACTTGACCACACTGCAGATTACTTGACCACACTGCAGATTACCTGACCACACTACAGATTACCTGACCACACTACAGATTACCTGACCACACT